CAGCTTACAGTCTTCGTGAAGGTAAGCTATTCCACGAGCTGCACCTACAGCAATCTTTACACGTGTATCCCAATCCAGTGCAGTCCTACCTTCACCTAAAACAAGAGATATCAACAACCATGTCCCAAAGAATGTTCCTCACAAAATTAAGCCACAAAAAACTTACTATGAAGATGGAAGTAGAGATTATTATTCGGGACATAGTCATACACAAGCAGCCTTCTGTTCTCGTAAATGCAATAACCGACAAGCGAAACCAAATGGCGGTGGTGTATTCGGCTTATTATTTCGACCTCAGATCTGAACTCCCGCTCCCCCTGCCCCCCGCCAAGCTTTAACTGCTTAACTGCCACATCTCTACCATCCTCGAGGCTTCCTTTGTACACTGAACCAAACCCACCTTCCCCCAAGAGTTTCTCGGATGAAAACCCATTTGTAGCCTCAACCAGCTCTTCATAGCTGAACCACGTCTTAGGGTTGCCAAAACCACTAGGCGTTCGGGGTGAATAGACAAAACCCTTGGCGGATACATTAACATTTACAGGTGATAACTTTGGCACCTTCAGCAATGCAGAATCTGGGCAAATGTCAGAATTTTTTTTATTTTTGGTAAATAATGCTCAATATGATTAAAATAAATTTAAAAAAGGAAAACAGTGAAAAAAATTTTACCTGCTTCTTGAGAAGAACCAAGAGAGGGAGGCATAACATAGCCTCCATTGTATGCAGAAGCCTTTTTCTTCCGCCTCCATGAACAGCAAACCAGAGTCCCAAATATACCGAGGAACATAAAGAAAACCACCACCAAAACTGCCACAGTGCCTCCACTCACGCCGCTCCCGTTGCCCGACCGCGATGCTTGTGTCCCATTGCTTCCCGAGCCATTTGTTCTTGGAACAGCTGGCGGAGGAGCTATGGGTGGCGGCAAATGTCGGGCATTTGATGGAGGCGGCAAAACGGAAGGAGGTGGTGATACCCTCACTGCGGGTGGCGGTGACAAATTTGACGGAGAATTTGAGGATGGAGAGTGGGAAGGTGGCGGACTAGTGCTGTCGGAATTCGGAGGTGGCCGGAGAATTGGCGGCGAGCTTTGTGGTGGTGCTGGTGGGGAATTTTCAGGGGGCTTTGGTGATTCCAGTGGAGGCGGGCTCTTCGGCGATGGAGGTGAGTCTTCTGAAGGCTTTTTGGCAGGCGGAGGCGTGGAGTTTTTTGGTGGTGGTGGAGGTGGCGGCGGTTTGGAGGTTTCCGATGGCGGAGGGGCGGCCGGAGGCGGAGGGTTAGCGGTTGGAGGAGACTTAGAAGGATGATCTGGCGGACTTAATGTTGTATTGGATTCATTTGCTTTGTGTTTTGAGGACGAGGATTCGAGTTCGAGAGGGGATATTGTTGGGGGCTGAGAAGACAGGGAAGCATTGGGTGATGTGGGAAGAGAGAGTGAGGTTACATTTGCAGCAGAGGATGATTTTGACGGATTGGTGGTGGGAGAAGATGGGGATGGTGATTCAGGCGACATCTCAACAAACAAACCAACTTCTTGATGGATTTTTTTCACTATTTTCTAACTGTTTCTATTCTACCATGGGAAAGATAAAATCTGTGCAATCTTCAACACCATGCCAGAAAAAACATGCAAAAAACACCAGTGTACTATCACGGATTTCAGTGCTTTGGAATAAAAATGCATGAGCCCCTCACACAGCCCAGAATTACCCAAAAATTAGATTTGTTGTGAGACTTATGCAACGATAACAGGAATCTGGCCCAAACAACAACTTTCTCCTAAGTGGCTGAGTAATCGATTTCCAATTCGTGCAAAAACAAACACGCTTAGCCTCCAGCGCACACAGAACAACGTCAGCCACGATTGAATGCCAAACATCAAAGCCCAATAAAGGAGGAAAAAGGGAAGAAGGCATATAAACCTGGAATCCCTCAATCAACTGTAGATAATAGCAAAATTCACAACCTCAATCACCAACGTCAACCCAGGAATCGATACTCGGGGAAAAAAATACGAGTAGGTCTTCGAAATCTCATACTTCAGCCATAAACGAAACGGAAAAATGAGAAATCACCCACGCGCATAATCACTCACCTGAGAGGTGGCAAATATCCCTAAATCGCGGCATGCAGACGAAAATCGTATGTGAAACGGAAAACAGAAATGGAAAATCAGGTGCCAAATGGAATGTTAGCTTTTAGCTTCACCTTTCATCTACCATAAATTCTCTACGAACCAAACATACAGAAAATCTGGAGAAAAAAAGGACTGCCTTTTTTATGAGATCTCGAGAGATTATGTGGATTTAGGGAAAAAAAAATGGAATAGCAACGAATGATGGGCTGACGGTGACGTTTCATAAAGGTAAATGGAATAAAAATGAAATTGATAAATTCGAAAGTCTAACCTTGGACGGACGGACCCATCATACTGTATTAGTTAAATAAAAATATATATATTTATATTATCTTCAACGTGATATTTCTATTGTTTTTTACAATGGTTTTAATAAAATTATGCATGTTTATCAAATGGGTATATTGGTTATTAGGTCGACCTATATATGACTAATAGAATAAAATACTTTTTTAAGAATTAATTAAAAAATATATATATATATATATGTATATATTTATATTTTGTGTAGAGTTTGCATTATTTGAGAAAAACAAAAAAATTAAATAAATTGTGTAACTTTTGATTTTGTTTATATATTTGGTAACGTGATTTTTGTATGAGGCAGCCTAATCGGTAGACTGACCGTCATACTATATGAACAAAAATTACATATTCATATATTATCCATCTAATTAACCTTTATGTGACATCGCCCCAAAATTGGTTAATAGTTTGCATATTTATACCATCAAATAAAATGCTCATAAATTGACGGCTAACGATAGGTGGGTTATCCGTCATAACAAAAAATGCATAATTATACCATCAAATAATACAATTTTGTTTATTTGTTTATATTATTTTCAAAATATGACATTTTCTAATAAAAGTGCGAATATTTTGTTTGGCAAGCCAATAAACTAGCTTATAGCTTATTTGATTAACTTATAAGCTTCCTTTATTTAAATAAGTTTCTCGTTTGGTAGGACGAGCTTTTTTAAAAAGCTCGAGCTTATCTCATAAGCTACTTTAGGTAGCTTTTCATATAAGCTAGTTGAAGGCTATGTTTGGTAGACCAATAAACTAGCTTATAACTTATTTGATTAGCTTATAAGCTTCCTGTATTTAAATAAGGGGTAAAATATACAGTACCCCCTTGTATTATACGAAATCTGCGCGTTTCTCCCCTGTATTTTAAAAATTGCGTCAGACCCCCTTCTATTAATGTTTTGCATGCGCGAAACACCCTAAACCGTCTAAGATGACGGAAGTGGGGTGCACGCGCGTGCTGTGCGACTTTTTCTTCATTATTTCACCCCAAAATGGCGGAAATTACTGTTTTACCCTTGAATTATGTGCAAAACTCAAATGTTATAAAATGTGGGCAACAAGATTCAAACCTGGGTTGGAAAGGAAGGAAATGGCCACTCAACCACTAGGCCATATGGATGGTTGTGTAATATATTGAACATAAATATATATATACATCACACTGAAATAAATTAAATAGTTTAAAAATAAGTAAATAAATAAAATAAAAGGATAATATGTCAATTTACTATAAATATAATAATTAATAATAATAATACTAATAACTTCCAATAAATCAAATTAACTTAAAATAATGAAAAAAATTAAATTAAAATAAAGTAAGATAAATTTAATGTATTAGCGTGAACTAAAATTAAATAAAGTTATAATTAAGTAAATTTTAAATGAGAAAAATAAATACAAAAATGAAATAAATAAATAAATAAAATTAAAATAAACTAATTAAAGAAAAATAAAAATAATAATTATATAAGATAATATAGTATAAAAATTATAAAGTAAAATAAATAATAAATCAAATATCTTATTATGAAATAATAAATTAAATAAATAAAGAACTGAAATTAATATAATATAATATAATAAAAAATATTATTTATCAAATAATTTTAATATTTTACTCTTAATAAATATATTACTATTTAATATAAAAACAAAATGATAATTTCGTTTTAATAAATTAATAATATAAATGTAAAATAAATTGTTGTATAAAATTTCAATATACGTTTTAATGAATTGACATAATATAATTTGTATAAATTATATTAAATATAATTTATAATAAAATTAAATGATTAATTTAAATAATTAAATTTATAATAAAATGAAATGATAAATTAAATTAAATTAAATTTGTAATAAAATTAAATGATACTTATATATATAATATATTATTAAAGTATAATTTCGAAAATAAAATATTTTTTATTAAATAGCTATATATGATTTGTATTTATTTATTTTAATTATTTTTATACTATTTAATATTTTTTAAAATCTTTTATAAATATATAGATTTACTTAATATAAATATTTATAAGTTTATTCAATTAATATACATAATTACTTAAATATAAATATTTATAAATATTTATAAGTTAGAATATAATTACTTAAATATACATAATTTAACGATATTATAAATTATAAGTAAAATAATAATTCAATATTTATATTTTATAATAATTGAGTAAATAGATTCTAATATATTATTTATAATTAAGAATCTATTTATTCAATTATTATAATATATATATATATATATATAATTATTATATTATTTATAATTTATATCTATCATTATATTATTTATTTTTTAGAATATTTTTTCTTAATTGTTATATTATTTATAATTTAGAATTTGTTTATTAAATTATTATATTATTTGAAAATTTATAATCTATTTTATTAATTATTATATCATTTATAATTTAGAATATTTATAATTTAAAACGAGAGGACCCATACGTGGTTTCTGGGTCAAAGCGGTACAGGATAGACTCGCTCCATGAGGTCCACGGTGTGCCGCGGGTGGTGGTTTTAAATATATTTAATTATTATATATTAGTAATTTAGAATATATTTATTCAATTATTATATTATTTATAATTTAGAATTTGTTTATTAAATTATTATTTTATTTGAAAATTTATAATCTATTTTATTAATTATTATATCATTTATAATTTAGAATATTTATAATTTAAAACGAGAGGACCCATACGTGGTTTCTGGGTCAAAGCGGTACAGGATAGACTCGCTTCATGAGGTCCACGGTGTGCCGCGGGTGGTGGTTTTAAAAATATTTAATTATTATATATTAGTAATTTAGAATATATTTATTCAATTATTATATTATTTATAATTTAGAATATATTAATTTAATTATTAAATATTAGTAATTTATAATCGAATTACATAATTATTATATTATTTATAAGTTAGAAAATATTTCTTAACTATTACATTATTTAAAATTAATTATATATATATATACTTAATCAATATATTATTAATAACTTAGATCTACATATTTAATTAATACATTATTTATAATTAATTGTTATTATACATTTTCTATACGTTATATATAAGTAGAATTACATTTATAACTACATGTCAAGTAGCTCAGTTGGTGGAAGATGCTTTTTTCAACCCAAAGGTACAGGGTTCAATCCCCACCTTTGAGGTTTTAATTTTAAGTTTACATATAGCAGGGTATAATCGTAAATTCATTGATAAAGTAAGGGTATAATGGTAAATTAAACAAAAAAGTAACGCCGTTAGTATTAAAGTAACGGTGTTAACATAAAGGGGCGAGTCTGCATGTAAACATTAAATACAAGGGGGTTTGACGCAATTTTTGAAATAGCAGGGTAAAACGCGCAGATTTCATATAATACAGGGGGATTTGGTGCAATAAACCCTTTAAATAAGCTTCGTTTGGTAGGACGAGCTTATTAAAAAAACTCGAGCTTATTTGATAAGCTTCTTTTGGTAACTTTTCAAATAAGCTCGTTGAAATTTTTATTTCAGCTAGCTTATCAGCTAATTTTACCAAACATTTTTATCATATAAGCTAGCTTTTCAGCCATAAGCCATAAACTCTAAGCTCAAAAATTACTAATAAGCTATAAGTTAGCTTATTAGCTATCAACTAGTTTTACCAAACATAGTCTAATTTTACCAAACACTTTTATCATATAAACTAGTTTTTCAACTATAAGTAATAAGCTGTAAGCTATAAGCTCGAAAATTACATATAAGCTATCAGCTAGCTTATCAGCTAGTTTTACCAAACATAGTACCAAACAGAATAACTACCAAAATATCAATCATCACCTTGCTCTCTCTGAAGCTCACAAGATTGTTTGAGATATGCACAACAATCTCTCTCGTGGAACATTATTTAAGATGAAGACTTTGGCCTTTATGCAATTTCTCATGAACACACTAACAATAAACCAAAACAACAAAACTATGGCCAAATGGTTAACAATTTGAACAACAATTATCTGGAGTTTCGGGCTTGTTTTTGAGCTCCACACGGCGGGCCTTGAGATTCATTCGGATGTCGACTTTCATGTTTTTGTAGATTAAGTTGTATATTCTTATCCAGGCATCTTCGAGGGCCTTGAGGCGGTGGGCAGGGACAGAGACTTTTCGGAACTCTGGCTGTTTGTCTTCGGTGATCTCGTGGGCCTTCAGCGGGTCGAAATTGGGCTTTTTCGGTGGCTTAGTTTCGGGGTCCATGGGCTGAGAATTCCGGAAAAGTAGGTCAATTAGCATAAATCAAGAAATACAGAAACAGAGCATTTCTTGTACTTGGATTAATGTGGGGATTTGGCATTTCCTTATCAAATGATATGTTTCTGTGAAGAAAATATAAGTAGCTGAGTACAAAGCCTACACAATTTACACTAAAACGGACACATATATCAATAGCAATCACAATTCTTCTTTTTCTTTTCTAATAATAATAATTAAAACCATTCATCACCAAGCAAATGGATTCTGTTAATTTCAGCCTACAACCACAGCAATCAACTTTTTGCCCTACCAAATAAGCAAATTACCCAATTCCGTTCTTAGAAAAATACTATTCTCGTCGTCAACAAACATAATACGTAATAAAAATGTTAACGAATCACAATTCCTCTTAAACACAAACCCAGCAAACTGAAAACGGAGGGTAGGGCGAGATTGAGAGATGAAAGATACGATGTGCAGTTAATTGATGTCAAATGCAGTGGAGAAGCTTACTTTGATTTCAAGAGAGCCTCTGCGGCTTTTCCGGTGGTGATTACCAGCGGTCGCCGGCAAGGAGTAGGGCTGATGAAAAAACAAGTTTCAACCTAGACAAGAGGCGATGAGAGGGAAGCAACTGGTGTGTTTCTTGGATTGGGCTTTTGCGCTTTCTATTTAATGATTTATTAATATGATAGCCCAATCCGCGGCCTACCTCGGTCTGTTCAAAAGAATAGGCCCGCCTCCTTGTGTTTAGATGTATTTATTTTTGTACAAAAATTATTTTTAATTCATGTAATAAATATTTAAAAAAATAATGAGATTGGTTGAAATATTTATATGTAATACATATTGTTATTATTATTACGTGAATTCTTTTCAATGCTACAAAAAATGATTTTATTATATATATATGTATATAATAATATATATTTTGGCAGGAAAATTTATGAACTGTTTTTATTAAATGCTTATTATTTTTCATATACATATTGCTTTATTTTATTGAAACTATCCTCCATCACATTCTTGGGCCACATATGCTTGAGTCTGATTTCACATATGCGTAACCCCAATTTCACAAAATGTCTTGAGAAAATCATGAGAAATTTGTTTCGCATATACATGATGAGCATTTCATAATAAACAAACTAGCTCCTCTGCAAGATTAATGGATTACTACTTTACTAGAGCAATTTCGGTTCTGAACTAACTCATTAAACAACAAACAGAAGAAAAA